TTGTTAATGAGTGCAGAGAGTTACTTTAAATTCTCAATTCTACAAGTAAGTGCATTTTTAATTACCTCAGTCCTTAGTGGTAAGGGAAAAGGTCAACAGAAGTGTATTAGAGTTAAGGTACTCTCTGGGAACAATTTTTTCATTTACCTTTTTAACCAAGGGACCTGTAGAAAACTTTGTGGAGCCAACCTTTCAGTAATAAGAAAATTAATACTGCGCAGTAAGAGCAGTGAGGTGTGGAGACAAAGTGGTCAGGACACTTAGCTGGATGGTCAGTTACAGAGTAGATCAACAGAAGCTTCTGTTGCTTTCTGCTGCCACCTGATGTCTGTGACCATAGAAACAGCACTGGAGCAGTCGGTGGATGGCCATGAACTTCTGAGATGCTTCTCTGAGATATATAGCATCTTGGAACTTTGATATTGTCCACAAGACTCTTCCTACAGGATTAAATTCAGATTTCATCGCTATCAGTTGTGTGAATATGGACGAGTGAGACAAGCTCTCCTATCCTGGTTCCTGCCTCTAAAATTGGAATAACTACCACATAAGATTAAAGTGAGATAACAAACACTAAAAATTCATCTTAGGGGCCAGGGAGATAGCTCAGTAGAGTAAGTGTTTGCCTGGCAAGTGCAAGGGCCTGAGTTCAATCCCTGGTTCCACAATAAATAAATAAATAAATAAATAAATAAATAAATAAATAGAAATAAAAACTCATCTTAAGCTAGACATGTCACAAATGTTTTTTCTTCATTCTGCCCAGCAGATTACATGGAATAGGTAAGGTCATTGATTTCAGGTCTTTTTATCTCTTAGGCTTTAAATGTGGAATTAGTAAGCACAAAAAAGATAAAGATTCTGGCATCCCATGTAATGTTGTAAGTGACTAAGTCTTCAAATACTTAATCAGGTTCTATCGAATAATCAAAATGACTGATGATATTTAAGATACCTATATTATAATTCAGTCAAAACTCTGGCAGTAGTTTAGGCTTCTCTAGACTTTGGAAAATCCCATGATAATCATTTATTATGGCCACAATAGCATTGACCCACTATTATCTCCAACCTTACATTTATTATGATTGTTCAAGGCAGCGAAGGATTCACAAAGTGTTTGACTAAGCTATGAATAAGGACCCTGCCATAGAATAATTTCTCTGCTTAAGACCCTAACAGATAGATGGTAAAACCTATTCCACAAGTCTTCCATTCACAAAGCTAAGGGATGGACATTTTACTACAATTCTGGTTAGACGTCAGGCAAACAGAAACAAAAAGAATAAACACTAGGTTTCTTAGGAAAACAAGCCTGGTCTGGTTAGCACATGGTTTCCTAAGAAACCACTGTCATCCCTGTCTTCTCCAGAGAGGGAGCAGCTTCAGTGCTTCGAGCTCTGCAGAAATCTCATTGGCTTAGAAAAGAGAAAGAATGTGGCCAGCGAAAAACACATTTTCAGCAAGCTGAGCAAATATGGCTTTGACGTCAGGGAGGGAGTACATACATGGGTAACAAAGGAGTTGTGCACACATGGGGATTCTGTGGTACCTGGGTGACTGCCCAGAGCACTAAATCCTGCAGTTGAGAATCCCTTTGAAGACCCTTCCCAATGCCTGGGAATTTCAAAGAATATCATCATAACTCAGAAACCCTCCGAATGTCATTTTACCTTGTTCTTCTGCCTCCCCATTGTGCTTGCTGTCCCTAGTGACAGACTGAAGCCCAGCCATCGCCTGGGGGTGGGGAGTGGGCTGCAGCAGATGTGCACATCTGGATCACCTGCTGGTAGCCCATCAGGCCCCAGCTTTCCCATGGCTTTTGTGTTCACGTGGCATTTCTGGGGTGTCCTCCTCTCAAGATAACTGGATCTTTTAGGCCAAGGGTTTTATTATTGATCAAAACATTCTATAATGTAAAGCTATTCAGTGAGCTACACTTACGGGACTTTGGTATATTGAATCTCATTGTCATGTATGTGAATAATTGATTCTAGGATTATAGTCCTTATAACATTTTAAAAAGAAAAATACTTAGCTGGGGAACTTGGGAGAATTGTCACCATCTGTTGTGTTCTCTTCCTAGATAAGTTACTTAGGCAAGAGACAGTTTTCAGTTTGACTCTAATTCTACCTCCCCACTGTGGGTTTTTACACAGTTCCTCTGAACATAGAGAAATTCAATATTTACATGGGTAACTTTCAACCCCGTTCTGCCCTCTTCAGTTCTCTTGTTTTTAATCATTACATAGTGAGTATACAATGACATTTCACATCTGTTTCTGGTTGGGAAGATCAGTAAGGATAGGGGTGATTGAGAGCTACATTAGGTGAAGTAATTACAAAGAAATGTTAAAAAGTGGAAGTGCACCATTTCCCCATTTTTATCTAATACATCCAGCATTTGAGAAAGGACAATATGAGTAGGGGTTGGGGGGTGGTGATGCATTAAAGATCAGCAAATGGCACAATTTGCAACAACCTAACGGGGTTAGTACTGGGGGAGGCATCTATGAGTGACAGCAAAACATATTGGCATTTGATGGTTGAGTTTTCCCACTGTAACTCTCTGTGTGTGTTTGCTTCTTTATGTTTTGTCTTTAAACAATCTTGTATTATAATTATAATTTGGCATTGCCTTACCATGATGTTCTTCCGTATGGGATTCTGGTTATCTCCAAGAGTCTAGATAATTTAAGAAATTCTAGACTTACTTCCAAAAAGTAGCTTAAGCATCAGAATAAACAGGCATGTTAAAGTTTCACACAATGGAAATGCATTTTTTAAATTTGAAGAATAAAGACATATTGGGAATTGCAAAAGCCAAAGTCCCCCAAGCACGGTTAAGTTGCCCTTTAATACATCGTGCATATTTAAAAGTCTGGGGATTTACAATCAGCAAGAGGACTATAACTTTCTTTTTTCTGATTTGTTTTGTGTAAATTTGTAGTGCAAGTGTTTCATTTCTCTAGACATTTGCATTTAATTTGCTGCTTAATGTGAAAAAAATTAAAGGTTAAGGAAATCAGGCTGCAGAATGAACGCATTACACTCTGACTTCTACAGGAATGTTTTCAGTTGCACATTGGAACCATGTTGTAATCCCAGGGAAATGTGGGCAAAACCCTATTCAGAGGATAGGTTTTTGTCCTTAAAGTAAATATCTCCCAAGATTCCAAATGTTCATCCATTTTTGACTTATCAAATAATGCTTCATCCTGACTTATGTCATTATTCATTATTTGAAAGTATAGTTTATCATATTTTACCTTAATTTTTACAATTCTTTTAAAAGTCTCTGCTGTAAAAGATAGGCCTTTCATCTTAAAATAATAATGACAACAATGCATAATTTTTTTCTTGCATAATATAGTCCTTTACTTGATCTTTTGTATGTTTTTCCTTTCTTATAAACCTTGCTACAATACACTGAATGCTAGACTGCCCCTCTCTTGCATTTCCAAATTCATGTGCTAAAATCCTCCCACACAATGCGGTAATATTAGGAGGTGGAGCCTCTGGAAGGTAGGCAATTCACTAGGAAAGAACCCCCAGGAAAGGAATTAGTGCCCTGGCAAGCTCCCTTTCCACTCTGTGGGGATTTAAGGAGTGGTCAGAGTCTGCAGCCTTGAGAAGCATCCCTCACCAGAATATGACCAGACTGGTATGCTCAGCTTAGACTTTTCATCTCCAAAATTGTTGGAAATAAGTTTAGATCACTTATAGAACTAAGGCATTGTCCATACTGACTAAGACTCTTACTATGTTAAGAAACTTAAAAGCAACTAGAAGGGAAAGGATTGTTAGAAGACAGCTTCGTAATATTATGATGGCATTTAGATTTAGAGTGATTTAAGAGCTATCTTTGGAAAATTTGGGAAGTCTTACTGATTAGGAATTTGACTCCATATGATTTTTACCTATCAGGGCTGGTCCCTTTGGAATGGATCTGGAAGCCCCCAGAGATCAGTAATCATGGCATGTGAGGCTTTTTCTCTAGTATAAAAACATTCTGTGGAAAATCGGGATGAGCTCTGTCAGTGAGGAAAAGTGCATGTAGTTTCTATGGGCTGATTCGAGTTTCCACTAATCCTGGTAGGGGCCCTCCAGACACACTGTACACAGGACAGTCTATCATAGAGTAAGGATAAAAATAGAGAGGAAAAAGACATATTTTTGTCATTTCGTTTGCTGAACCCAGTTCTTTAGTCTTCAAAGGTCTTAGCCTATTAGTACTGTAGGCTGTTGTTTTTCGTTTATTCCCTCAAAAAGAATGTGGAGGGGGAACTATTGCAAATACCCCCTGCTTCGGCATTGTTTGATTTAAAAAAATTAATAAAAACAGTTCCTAGCAGCTGGCTGAAACAATTATGTTCTTCACAAAAGTCTTTGCAGATGACACTGAATGTTAAAAAAATAATTCTTCCAATTAGTGTGTGGCCAGTGCACCTGCACTCCGGAATCATCCAAGGAAATTTATCCATGAGCATCAGGGAAAACAACTCAGGAATTCATCCCCTCTGCCTTCTTCTGTTGCCACGTTCCGACAGATGTGAATCTGAGGGGTGCACATGCTGAAAGGCCCACCCGCCTGCAGTCCCAGGAGCACAAAAAGCATGAGTTCAGATCAGGAGAACTATGAATTCTAACTGTCTGCCCTCAGTGTCACTTCTCCTTGTTCTTCAAGCCACTTTGTTCTGTTACTGTTGTTGTTTTTCCTGAGTAGCATAAATATGCTGCAGATTTATTGCCCTACATACCCCACAAATTAAAAAAGTGTGTTCTATAGTTAGTACTTTACATGTCGCTGTGCTTTCCAATATTCTTAGTTGTTCTCCAGGATTGTTTCTTCCTAAATATTTTTTCATCTAGAAATTGTTAGGAAGATAGAACTTTTTTCATGTTCTTTCCTAAATTTTCACTACATAATTCACTATTCCTCAGATAGAATTAGCCTTCAGGTAAGTGACAGTTTGTTCTTCAAAAACATTAAGCCGCCGGCCGCAGCTTGACACGCGGCGCGGCCCCCAGTCTCCGCGGCCGCCTCCCCCATGCATGGCACAGGGCCTGGCCTCACTATGGCAGCGGCACGGCACAGCACGCTCGACTTCATGCTCGGCGCCAAAGCTGATGGTGAAACCATCCTAAAAGGTCTACAGTCCATTTTCCAGGAACAGGGCATGGCCGAGTCGGTGCATACCTGGCAGGACCATGGCTATCTAGCAACCTACACAGACAAAAATGGCAGCTTTGCCAATTTGAGAATTTATCCACATGGATTGGTGTTGCTGGACCTTCAGAGCTACGACAGTGATACCCAGAGCAAAGAAGAAATTGATAATCTTTTGAACAAAATAGAAGAGAGAATGAAAGAATTGAGTCAGGCCGGTATTAGGTGGATGAAGCATTTGCCAGCCATAATTCGAGGAGGGGCCATCGACAGGTACTGGCCTACAGCTGATGGACGTCTGGTTGAGTATGACATAGATGAAGTAGTGTATGATGAAGACTCAGCTTATCAGAACATTAAAATTCTACACTCAAAGCAGGTTGGAAATATCCTCATCCTCAGTGGGGATGTTAATTTGGCAGAGAGTGATCTGGCATATACCCGGGCCATCATGGGCAGTGGCAAAGAAGATTACACTGGCAAAGACGTACTGATTCTGGGCGGTGGAGATGGAGGAATATTATGCGAAATAGTCAAACTGAAACCAAAGATGGTCACTATGGTAGAGATTGACCAAATGGTGATTGATGCATGTAAGAAATACATGCAGAAAACATGTAGTGACGTCTTAGACAATCTCAAAGGAGACTGCTATCAGGTTCTAATAGAAGACTGTATTCCAGTACTGAAGAGGTACGCCAAAGAAGGGAGAGAGTTTGATTATGTGATTAATGATTTGACCGCTGTTCCAATCTCCACATCTCCAGAAGAAGATTCCACATGGGAGTTTCTCAGACTGATTCTTGACCTCTCAATGAAAGTACTGAAACAGGATGGGAAATATTTCACACAGGGGAACTGTGTCAATTTGACAGAAGCCCTGTCTCTATGAAGAACAGCTTGGGTGCCTGTATTGTCCTGTGGAATTCTCCAAGGAGATCATCTGTGTCCTTTCATACTTGGAATTGTGGGTATTTTACACTGTCTGGAAGAAAGCTAAACCCTGAAGATGACTATCCCCACAATTGTGCTGCAGATAGCCTTCCTGACCTGCATATCCTGTACACGCATCAAATGAGTCAGGCAATTGATCGTGACTTTCTTAATGTTTTCTCTTTTTAATTATTATTTTTAATTTTAAAAAAGCAAATGGAAAATGTATATTTTGATGAACCTAGGGTGTTATTTTTTTGAAAGTCAGCTGAAGGACAATTAGACAGCACAGCAAAGACTGCGAAATGCACTGACCCCTAGAATGTGATTTTTGTTACTTTTTATTTCTGTGTGGGACTTTTCATTTTGTTTTGTTTTGATTTTGATAGAACTTAAATTTGGACCTTTGGAGGAATGAACATCGTTATTGTGTTTTGGAGGGAAGTTCTTGAAGGTTTTTAAAAAAAATGACTTAGATTTAAAAATTTGGTGCTTATAAGAAAGTTAAAAATGAATAGCAATGCTTCAATTAAAGTTACAAAAGAGAAAAAAAAACATTAAGCAAGCACGCTCTGTGCCAACATTGTACATGGTATTAGATTAATTAAAACCCAATATTTATCTCAGAAATGCTTTTAATTTTCATTGCAATTAGTTTCCTTTTCTGCTTTAATGAAATATAACAGTGTATCATCAAACTGTGCTTCTAGGACTATGCTTTCTTATCTGTGGAAGCATTAAGTTTAAATACCACCCCCACTAGAATTGTTGAATTTTATTTGATTATTGTATTTAAGAGGTGGGACAGTGAAGAGGTGATGTCAGGTTTTGAGCTCACTGTCTTCATGGGTAGGATTAATGCCCTTATAAAGTGGCTACTTTGCCCCTCTTGCCTCTTGGTCCTTCTGTCTTGTGCCATGTAGTGATGGACGACCTCCCTCCAGAGGATGCAATATTCAAAGCACCATCTTGGAAGCAGAATTGTTAAATCCACTAGTGCCTTTTTCTTGACCAATATTCAGGTAGGTAAGCCAACATATTTCTTTCTTTTTTAATAGCTATTTTTATGTTACTTATAAATTTATTTTTATTTTATAATTTTATTTTTTTATTTTTATTTATTT